AAGGTAGCACCCAGCACGACATGTGTGCACCACAGAATCACTTGGATCACACATCGAGGAAGGTTCTAAGGTAGCACACAGCATGACGCATGTGCACCGTGGAGTCACTTGGATCACGCAGCGAGGAAAACTCTAAGGTAGCACCCAGCACAACACGTGTGCACCACGGAGTCACTTGGATCATGCGGCGAGGAAAGCTCTAAGGTAGCACCCAGCATGACTCATTTGCACCGCGGAGTCACTTGGATCACGCGGCGAGGAAAACTCTAAGGTAGCACCCAGCATGACGCGTGTGCATCACGGAGTCACTTGGATCACACATTGAGGAAAGTTCTAAGGTAGCACCAAGCATGACATGTGTGCACCGTGGAGTCACTTGGATCATGCGTCGAGGAAAGCACTAAGGTAGCACCCAGCATGACGGGTGTGCACCGCAGTCACTTGGATCACGCATTGAGGAAAACTCTAAGGTAGCACCCAACATGACATGTGTGCACTGCGGAGTCACTTGGATCATGCGGTGAGGAAAACTCTAAGGTGGCACCCAGCACAACGTGTGCACCGCAGAGTCACTTGGATCACACATCGAGGAAAGCTCTAAGGTAGCACCCAGCATGACACGTGTGGACCGGGGAGTCACTCAGAGGCACTATGGAGTCACTTGAATCACACGGTGAGGAAAGCACTACGGTAACACCCAGCATAGCACTGCCTGGGAGCAATGGAACTTTAAGTGCAGAACCAGAGCAAGAGAGTGGGAAAGATGAGATGATCAATGGAAAGAATTTAACTTCATGTTTCCTAAAAGTAAGTTTAAGATTTGCTTCAGTAGTAAATAATTATTTATCAAAAAAATAACAAAAACCAAGCTTAAAGCATTAGGGAAAAAACTGTTATGCTTGATAAAGGTAATTTCAGACCTAATATGAAAAGAAATAGTTTAAAGTCATTTACAAATAACAAAAGCTAAAAGAAAGAATGAGTAACAAGAGTGAGGAAGAGCATGTACGCTGTAAACACAGAGGTGATTGCTGTAATACGAAATGTCAGCTGCATGTTACCAATGAAAGAAGTGGCCCCTGGATTGAAAAGTAAAATCAGTGTTTTCCTCCAGGAGAGGGTCAGGTCCTTTGTGACAGTACAGGAGATAAAGAACACACATGAGGTGAGCTGTGGTCAACAGGAAGCAACTCTGGACGGCAGGAGGCCAGGTGAGAACGTGGGAGTGGGAGGCGGGTGCAGGTGGTGTCTGAGATGCAGAGGAGACCAGGTGAGGATGTGGGGGTGCTGGGTGGGTGCAGGTGGTGTCTGAGAGGCACAGGAGACCAGGTGAGGACATGAAGGTGCTGGGTGGGTGCAGGTGGCATCTGAGATGCAGAGGACGACAGGTGAGGACGTGGGGGTGCTGCGTGGGGGTAGGTGGCGTCTGAGATGCAGAGGAGGCCAGGTGAGGACGTGGGGGTGCTGGCTGGGTGTAAGTGGTGTCTGAGAGGCACAGGAGACCAGGTGAGGACATGAAGGTACTGGGTGCGTGTAGGTGGCATCCGAGATGCAGGAGACCAGGTGAGGACGTGGGGGTGCTGGGCGGGTGTAGGTGGTGTCTGAGATGCAGAGGAGGCCAGGTGAGGATGTGAGGGTGCTGGGTGGGTGTAGGTGGTGTCTGAGATGCAGACGAGGCCAGGTAAGGATGTGAGGGTGCTGGGTGGGTGTAGGTGGTGTCTGAGATGCAGAGGAGGCCAGGTGAGGACGTGGGGGTGCTGGGCGGGTATCGGTGGTGTCTGAGAGGCACAGGAGACCAGGTGAGGATGTAGAGGTTGCTAGGCAGGTGCAGGTGGCATCTGAGTCATGCAGTGCACCTTTCTGATCAGTATGACATGCCCTCCCTGGTCACCCACTGCAAGACAACAGCCCAAGTTGCTGCGAAGCTGCTGTATTGGGGCCTGTGCTCTTCTGTTCACCAAAGCCCCTCAGCCCTGTCCCCACACACACCAGGTGCCTCTATCTGCTGACCGCCCACCCCTCACATGACCTGCAGGGCCTCAGTGGATTTCTGAGATTGCAGCCCTAGGCTTCTCCTATACTGGGACCTCTCTCCCACCTTGGTTGGACCTAGGGCCCTCAACGCGGCGCCTGGTGAAAGATCCAGGCCAAGTGGGAGGCCTGAGGGAGGGGCTGAGCAACCCACCTGGCTGGCTGTACAGCCCAGACTTAACCCTTCTTGTGAAGAAAGTCTCTGTCTTCTTCCTTAGGTGAACCTGTGCCACACGACGATAGTGGTGTCCATCCATCAAACTGAAGATCCAAAGCTACAAAAACAAAGAACACGCAGACATGGCACTAGAGCAGAGGTCCCTCCACAAAAGCAGAATACCAGAGTAGGAGCACGAGGGAAGATGCGTCACAGGACAAGCCCTTCACGCCCCACAGAGGCTCCCTGCACAGCTCTCTCCTGCCTTCAACCTCCACCCTGGAAGCCCTCCTTACAGCCTACACCTGCAGTGTCAGAGCACTTTCGCACTGCCAGCACATCAGCTCAGAGCACACAGGCAGGGTCCCATTGTGCAGGCCTCCCCACGTGCTCATCCGGGGCCCCAGCCCCAGGTTCTCTGCACACACCCCACAGCACCTCCGGGACCCCCAGACCCTAGGCTCTCTGCACATAACCCACAGCACCTCCAGGACCCCCAGACCCCAGGCTCTCTGCAAACACCTCACATCACCTCCGGGACCCCCAGACCCCAGGCTCTCTGCATACACCCCACAGCACCTCCGG